CGAAAATTAACTATGGTTTTACTACAAATAAAACCAAAAAACCATGGTTACTATACTTAAACCACTGTAACCATAGTAGTATTGTTGGTACATTGAGTCTTAAGACTGCACAATAGTAGTATATTCCTGTCACAGTTTCTTCACGTTAAACCAAACCTTTATTTTGATGGGTTGCCGTGAAGAACTTGCAGCTGCTGTGTATGTGATATAATGGTAGTTTTCGCAAATGAAATGGTAAAATGCTAATGAAGTGACTCTCAGAGCAGCTGGAGATGATATTCGTGTGTTCATGTCGCCATATAGGCTAGTGAGACGGCAGAAGCTGAAAACACATCTCTGCGTCATCTGCCATTCATTCATTCCGGAAGTTATGGCGCCTTATGTGTGATGTCAAATGCTTCCGCAGATTTGTAATAATACTATAGCATTTTACCGAGCATTGCAAATCAAGCATACTGCTTTGTTCTTGGTTCTTGTCAACAGTATCTCCGCCATGATAAGCACTGGATGAATAAGAGGGTGACATCTAGTGGAGAAGACTAATGATAAGATTCATGTTAAACAGATTTTGTGTTAAATGTTTGCTGAAATCAATACCGGAAAAGATTGATTCGCGGCTTTTGAGAATTGATCAACGTCATTTAAAAATCACGATTAATCGAAAATCTTTTTTTTTTGCCCAGCCCTAAATCAGACCATATAGGCATCTCATACCCACCTGAACCAGGGTGGTTAAAAAAGCCTAACTTTTACTTTCCACTGCAATATTTACCAATTTGTTACCGTCTAAATTAATATGTCCAATAATTCTACATTAACAAACAGTTAACCACTGACAATAGATAAAAAAAACCTGTTGCTCATATATGAACATATAAAATACATTTCACAAATACTGATGTTTAGATAAATATGACCAAGACATGATTAATTAGCTACAGCAGTGGTTCCCAATCCTGGTCCTGGAGAACCCCCAACACTGCACATTTTAGATGTCTCCCTATTCAAACACATCTGATTCAACTCATCAGCTCATTAGTAAAGACTCCAAGACCTCAAATGTGAGTGTCAGATAAGAGAGACACCAAAAACGTGCAGTGTTGGGGGTTCTCCAGGACCAGGATTGGGAACCACTGAGCTACAGCATAAGCATTCAGTAAATGTGGTTAGATTACATTTATTTGTCTACGGTCAAGAAGACATTTAAAGGTGAAGAGGACATCTCATCCCTGAGGGCATTGTACCCCATCTAATAGTGTTATATCAGACATCTGCCACCCTGCTCTTGAGATATCTGCCATAAATCACCCAGATCAACCACTACTGAGCAGTTCTAAACTAGAAACACAAACAAATCAACTTAGTACTGCACTGAGATCAGAGTTAGACCAACTCAAACTAAGATTGAGATTACAGAAAAAATATAAGAGCATGTGTTATCAAATCTCACTGAACTGAGAGAGAAATTCACTTGAGGCTGATCTTTAGGAGCAGGACACTAGAGTTGAGGATCCCTGAGGCTACACAGGGTGCAACGTGTGTGTGTGTGTGTGTGTGTGTGTGTGTGTGTGTGTGTGTGTGTGTGTGTGTGTGTGTGTA